TCAACCACCTGTTACACACTTCCTTTACCATAATTTTTTTAAACAGAATCACTTTTTGAATGATAGGATTTCATTCCTTTGAAGAGGGGGTAAATGGGGGGTCCTATGCACTTATCACAGACTATAAAAAGTAAAAATAATTCATTGCAGTGATTAAAATCCGTGTTGATGGATAGTACTAAAAAGGAATGCCATTTAACCTTCCCTTGTCTGATTTACTATCCCAAAAAGAGGTAAAAGGGAAACTTAGAAGAAATTTGACTTGGCTTTGACCGTTCTTTTCTAGGAAGTGTAACTGCTCGCTAAAAACTCATTTCATCTTTATTGTTGTTGTTGTTTAATGCATAAGCTTTGCTCCCTTCTGCAGACTTTTCTTACAGAGTTTTATTTCAATCGGGGATTGTAGACCATGCTTTCTGGACTCAGATCTCAAATCAGTGTACTAAGAGATGAAACTTAAAGGGATGAATGCTTACTTATGGGTATTTGAAATTATTCGTTCTTTACTTCCAAGAAAACCCATGGGATCTACATAATTCATTACTCCCTCTAATTTAAAAACTTGCTCATTCACTGTCGGCCGTTGCACCCAAGATTACCATGAAAACCCCATGCCTGTTAGCTCCAAGAAAAAAAGAGCTGAATTAGGATTGATTGAAAAATACTGACATCACGGAAATTGTTTCCCAGCTGGGGATCACAAGTACTCTTTTCTCAGCGGGTGAAACAAGAGCCAAAAAAGGGTCTTCTCTGGTAGGCTAAGTCATTTAGTACATGTATATAAGGGAACGTCTTTAAGTCCGTTAGGACTATTATAAACAAGTTCATCTGAAGGCCCACTGGCCTCAGTGTAAAATTTTTCTTCCGCTACAACTAAGTAACATATATTTTCATGAAAAAATTAGTTGAAAATCACGAATATCAGATAAAAGATTTTAAAGTTCACCTATCACGACAAGCAAACCATTCACAGTTCACGAATTTCAATTTTGTGTTTTCACCTTTCACGTAGCCTGAAATTCATCCGATTGCTTCGAGTCGTTTTCTCCTCTCAACAACGTCTGAATCGACGGGCCGTTAATGCCGTCCGGTGACGTCACTCACTACCCGAAAACCGGGTAGTGATTTTGATTGGTTGATTGTCTAAACATTCGCATAATTATGTATAATTATGAAAAATTATAGCGGGATTGTCGCTTGATTTTCAGCGGATCGCATCTCTGGCATTCTTTCGTGTGGTTCAAACATTTCAATAAGCTTAATCTTTATCTTAAACAGCAAAATTGCCCTTGTCTTCGAAACTGAAATGCTAAATTGAACTGCGAATGAAGAATCATTGTGGAGAGTCGGTAGGTTTTTCATTTAGAGCTGCTTTGTGGTTTCGGCGGACGGTGATTTTGTTTACGCGAAGTTTTCTGAGATCAATATTATAATCTTCTTGCTATTTTCACCGTCAAGTGTAATGATTCTGTTTGCTTTTCTTTCTTGTTTCCTTGTTGTTTTCTTCGCTAAGGACCAAATAGCTTCTTTTCAATTAAAGCAAATCGTTCTGTTTTTGAACTAAGTGTTTCGTGTGTTTGTTTATTTCATTGCGTGATTGCGACCGAGTTTGATTATAGAATTCAGTACAACCGGTTCGGAGTTGTACTGTATGCAGTTGATAGTTTGAACGTTAAACATGAATTACGATCGAAAAAAATAAAGCAATTCTGTATCTTGCAGACATTTCCAAACGATATTTCTCGGGTTGCCACTTGAAAATCGTGTTTTACTTTTTGCATAAATTAAAGCAACGGTCAAGGAGTAGTGACGTCACTGGACGGCATTAACGGCCGGTCGATTCAGACGTTACTGAGGGAGTAATAACGACTCGAAGTAATCGGATGAAATTCAGGCTACTTTCACGAAACTTAAAAACACTTCATCCGGTATCACACAAAAACCTCCTTCACCCCTTCTTTGAATGTGTCCCGTGACTTGCGAGGCACGAAATGTAACGCAACGACTCGCCGTACCGTACACGATTTCTCGAACAGTTATCTTTTTTTGATTTTCGTTCGCCTTTATCGATGTCCATGACCTTTCAGGCGACTACACGCCAAATTAAGTCAATCTAATCAACTTCAACACCAAAACCGAAGCATTTTCCCCGACAAAAGCTAACGACGACAAAGAGATTTGTTGTTCCAACTCTACGGACGTATAAATATTCCTCGTTTGCGTTCCGTCTCACTGGTTCCCACACAAAAGCGAACATCGGTGGTCGGCTTAAACCTTTGACAGTTAAGTACTCATGAAATAAACAAGCAATGTCGGCTTTGATATCTTTGTCTTTGCAACTTCCTCTAACCAAAGACATAAATTCAGCAAAATCCGCAAAGAATATCGATTAAAATATTAACAAAAAGCTGGACTTTCAAAGGCCACGCGAATCACGCAAATCTCAACAAAAAAATTTGCAATTCAATCCAAGGCTCTATCATCGCTTCATTGCAAGCCCCCAAAAATCAAGAATACGGAAATTTATTTTTTCAAAATGTTTTTCAGAGTCCATGGAAACACATGGAATTGATAATCACTGAACAGTGAAAGCGCGACATTGTGATTTGTGACTTACTTTGCGCTTTACTCCAGTGCACAGCGTGTTCAGAAATCGTTGTCTTCTCCGGATAAACTTGGCCATTAGCATAACGTCTACAAGTTTCTTCATCGTCTTCTACCTTGGTGGCGAAAATACCAGCGGGTAAAAAAGCCAAGACAACGAAAAACACAACTCCACAAGCCATTTTCCCAACAGAGGAAAATTTTACAGAGGAAATCAATCGCGTTCAGCGCCTGCGCGTTACTCTGGGGGTATTCCCAGACGTGGACCAATCAGATTTCTTTTAGGATCCAGAAGGAAAAAGTGCCGCGAAGAATGACCCACGAAGAATTTTTCAAAAGTAAAAGGCTAAAAGTAGACCAAAGTAGCGTAAACATCCAGGAAGTCAGTAAAAATAGCTCGTCAGTGCGCTCTTGTCATAAATTTTCATTCATTAATTTTTTTACCTGATATCGGGAAACTCAACGCTTGTTTCGTTCCTCCAAACGACGGCTTCTTCCTGGTTGACTGCAGTCCGTGAGATCAGAGAATGAATTTTCTGACGCAGGGGAATCTCTCTTCTGGGACACCTCCAATCAGGGGAGACAAAATTTGGTCCCGGAAAAATGTTCACATACTCTTTGTAGTTAATTCCGCTGTTGAAGAAACACCTCTTTCCCACCCAGGGACCAAGGAACACTTTTGCTGGGTCCCAAAGCCCTGGTTTGACCTCCATTCTGTCCAAGGGACACCTTAGCACTCAAAACATGACTGACCACAAAAATCTTTGATAATTTTAAAGTTACACTAGCTAGTCACAATGAGGACAATGAGGACAGCTTTCAAAACACGAACTATCGCACTTAAAGCGGTGTGCTACACTTGTGGGAATATATTCAACACACAACATCGCAGAGATACGTTAATCACGATTTTTTACACATTATCTAGCTACTTGAAATAATAACTGTACGTAGCACATTCCAAAGCAGAATAAGTAAAATATTTTATTTGTTGGTTAATTATTAACAAACCCCAGTACATATCAGACAACCTCCATTCAGGAGACACCTCTATTCAGGGGACACTTCCCTTGGTCCCGAGGGTGTCCCCTGAATAGAGGTTCCACTGTATAGTAAATAAGCCACCCTTAAGATGGGTTATTGGCTAGGGTTATGGCCTAAGACCTAATGCCCCTGGCCAGGAGGCTAACCTTCTGTTACCAGTATCCTGTGCTTGGTCATGGGGGTGCTATACAATGAAGCTGACTGACTGTTCTATTCAGTCTAGTCCCTTGAAAGGATCTGGGTCGCTCGATACCACTCATCCCTTTCACTTATTTTGCCGCTCATATCTTTCTTACATTGAAGAACACTACAAGAATTACTAGTCTTAGTAGTAGAAGAGGATACTTCTCCTTTTATCACAATAAATTGATGACGGTGGCTTGATTAATTAATTATTAGCACTACTTATAAGAGGGTCTCTTTGGGGTGGTAGCCTTGACTGTTGACGGTTAATTTTTTTTCCGTTTTTGAAAGCTGACTATTAAATTTTACAGATTCTAACGGTTGACGGTTATTAAGTGAAAATTTAGCCCAAAAGTTAAAGTAAACATTAACTTCTGTATGAATGAATATCAACTATTGTGTTTTGGAGGTTGTTGAAAAAGGGGGACTATAGTAGTCTATGATTTTGGGGGTACTTATTGGCAATTTAGATCTCAATTTAGGGTACGTGTGGCTGGGTTCTTAATTTTAAGAAGGACGATAATGGATTACCGAATTTATACAGTTTGGTAGAGTATGTTCTTCTTATTCTCAAAATTGCTTATCATAAATTAACTGTAGCCCACACATGATAAGAATCTGCTTGATCTTGCTTGTATTTTTGGGTGTGAAAGTGGCAAATTTCTGGTAAGAGATTCTTAATCCACAAGGTTCTTATTCGCGGGTGTTTACTGTACGGTGCGAGAAAGCCTGAAGCAGGAGCCCATCATAGGCTCCCGGCCTGCAGAGCAGGCGTCGTTTTTTTTCTTCTTTTTTTTAACGAAAGCGCGACCTAGGGGTACTTTGCGTGAACCCACTTGCCATTCTTTCTTTCGGATGTGGATGCACTCTTTCAGCACGTCTCGACCTCTAAGTCCCTAGGGTCACTGAGCCGCTAATCATTTTGCGCGAGCAATTTTGTCCATTGTGATGCAAATGTTGCGCTAAAGACATTTACCGCGGCATTGAGCAACGATTACATTTTTTATTTACAAGTTTGTTTGACATCTTATTGCCCGCTAAGTACTGTATTTGCGTAAGACAGTTAGAATGAAGAGCGAAAGATGATGAAGAATGATGACCCCGCTTATCAACAGTACAGTATATCCGTCTCCGTCATGTCATGCAAGGAATCTATCCGGCAATTAGAGGAAACAGTGTATTGTTTTGAGTTTACTGTTGCCATGAGCTCATAGACTTGTCTTTTACCTTCATCTAAAATGACTAGCATCACTTCTCCCTGGGATTTCAAACATCTAGAAATCGTTGGCAGCAGAGTTTCGCGCCCAGCCGAATTATCCGATATTCGAGGCAGAATTCCTGAGTTGAAAGTCGAAACGCGTAAAAGGATCGCGGTCAAGAAGGAGCCCGAAACAGAACCGAGGAGGCCTCGCTCTCCAGCAAAGCGAGAAAGTTTGCTGCATTTTAAACCTAAGAAAGAAAAAGTTGTGGCTGTGAAAGTCGTGCTACCCAAGAAGAAATCTGAAATTACTGAGAGAAATTATTTATGCTCATGTGAACGCTATTCCAGCGGGTCCTCAAATGACGAAGAGAAAGAACCCGAGTGTGACATCGAGTTTTCACAACTTATGGACATTTTTACTAACTACAAGGAAAAACGCACAAATATAAGGAACCTTACCAATATCGCCAGGGGTTTTCATGAAAGGAGAATTTTATCTAACGACGAAGCAATAAAGGTAAGTTGAAGTGAAGTCACAATTTACCAGTACCATGATTCTGTAGTCGACTGTTTCGCGGCGATTAAATCTTAAAGTGCATGTAATAACTCATGAAACTGTTAACGTGCACGTTTGGAAGATTTTGTTTGATTTTCGAAGTTTTACAAAATTTATATCTGATCATGTTTTGGATTTGGGTAGTTTGAAGGCAAGAGACTCCGCGTCTCTAACATTTTCGGTTTTATAACCTACATTGTGCAAGTGACTACATCGCAAGCTCTAGTTACGTTTTCAGACATTTATCGTAGGGTAATGAAGTGTCAATTGGCTTTATTAACTTTTGATTTCACGATTTTGTTGACTTAAACGCGTTAACGCTTAATTTTATCATTGTGTCGAGTCGACTAAACATTTGTTCAAGCCAGACCTTGGTCAATATCTGTCTGAACAGGTCAAGGATTACAGTTAGCTAAGCAAGGCCTATAATTAAATCTAGTTATCATTATTACTTTTTTACGTTTCTTTTGTTGTGGGTATATTGTGCTTGAAATCTGGTTTGAATATTAAGTGGGGTCTTATAAATAGTTGATCGGGCCTCTGCGTGCTGCAATCGTATCGGAACCTTCGGCTTTTTAAATCCCGACAAAAAATCTCCCGCACCACTACGGTTTCGCATCCGCCAACCTACGCGGATCGGAAATGGAAATCCAACTTATTTTTTTTTCTTAATTTTCTGTTTATTACTATCATCTCCAGTTCCCAGTTGGTAGAAAAAATAATCCTTTCAGCGTTAAATACCGTGAAGAAGCGGTTTAGTGAGTTGCTTAATTGGACATGTACCTCCCGTTGGGAAGATCTGTAAGAAACGCACTGAAGTTATCAGTAGGTATCTCTTCAAGCAAACACCAACCTCAATGTTTTGTCAGTGCCCAGATGTATTTTTGTGAAGTTCAATTCATTCTCTTCCGTTTGCAGAAATCAAACATGGCTCTCAATCACGCGAAAATAAATTAAAATTTGCGCTGCCCACACTGTGTCACTAATTTTATCAAGATAAAAAGGTGGGAAACGCTACCAAACAAAGTGAAACGTAAAACTAACTGCTCAAAAAGTGAAAAGAAGATATAGTAAATAAAACAGAAAACTGCCGGACGTGACACAGCCCCTTCACAGTTGTAGTCGCCCCTATCCCTATTTCCGCTATTGGTATTGGTGTCACCACTGTCTTTCCTTCCGTGCTTCTTCAGTTCTTCCTACTATATACAGGTATATCGAGAAAGGTTGTCGGAAAAAATGTGCACGCGACAATCCCGAAAGGTAATATGGGATGTGATCAATACACTGTTCCTAACGACTGTAGCTGTCGAACCTACTTTTGTTGCTTTCCTTAAGCAATCCCAAACATAACATCGCAAACATCCCGTCCCATTCTTTCAAATTTCTTTGAAGAACAGTGCACTGAAAACCACCCACAATACCTTTCGGGATTGTCGCGTGCACTTTTTCCGACAACCTTTCTCGAAATAGCTGTATACAGTATATAAACTAGACTTTCTGAAGGGTCCGGCATTCCTGTCATGTATGGTCGTGTACAGTATGTCAGCTCTCCCTCATCATTATGAGCCGGGGTGTCTTCCCGGTGGACACGGCACAAATCTCTCGGTTTCCCGTACGGATCACCTTGTCACAAAATCTCCCGAATAAAATCGACCTTTCAGCTTTTCTTTTCTTTCATTTGGAATTTCGCCCATTTTCTCAAAAGTTCAAAAATATTTTCGTTTCACAGTACGGTATAAAACGGTCTCTGCGGCGTTCTGGCAGGTCATCATCCCTGACAAATACTATCTTGTCATTACAGTAAAAAAGGTTTCTTTTTGTGGTCTTTTTTTTTTCATGTACGACTTCATACAATGTTCCGAGCCACATGAATGTGGTCTCCAGAGGTTGCCATCACTGACACCGAAGATTTTTTTATGTAATATAAAAGAGGGTGGTTTTAGGTATGACTTTGCCACTTTGCAGAGACTTCGCCGCGGTTTTATTGCTATTTTTTCAACCACTGAGTTTATGCGATAGTTACCCCTACATAGGTTTTATATCCTCGCGCCAGCTCTATACATGTATCAAGTAAGTCTTCCTGTCAGTAGTGGAGAAATTCGCCAAGAGAACATTCAAATGGTAGTATCTGACACTGTGTCATTCGGTTCTGTATAGTTTGTTCTTTTGTTCAAGTTTATATCAAGAGTTTCGAGTTATTGATGGTTAAGTTATAAAGAAAGTGCGACATGGCTTTATAATCGTCCTTGAAATTGTTCAATTCTTTAAGAGAGCACAAGGGAGTAAGGCATATACTGTTCTGATCCGTTAACAAAGACTGTGTTGATCTTTTTACTAGTTCCCAGGTAGGAATACAGGATTTTTAAAGGATTTCCTTGCAACAGTAAAATGAGAGAGGGTTTTAGGCAGGTGTTAGCGAGAGGTTCGTGTACGTACGGTTTACCAGGGTAGGGTGGATTTGCACTGTCATGTAATTTTTTCATGCGGCACGGCAAGTATTATGCGACAGTGGAAATCCATAGTCAAGTACTAGGATCGAAGAGTATCAGACTGAACTGATTAACTACAACACGGTTCGAACAGTTCCGGAATGATTGAAAGTGTTGTGAACAGACGATTTTCTCGTGAGAACAAATAAGCAATCAAGTACCGACAACATTAAAGTAGTGCCATCGATAAAACGTTTTGGAAATAACAGTTTCTTATTATAGGTATTAGGCGGGGCTTCTTTGTTAAAAGATCGTACCACACGTTGTCGTACCACAAACTTGTTTTTTAAGTGATAAATAGTTTACAATGAAACTGTTTTTCATTTAGGTGTTAAAGTTGCTGGATGCAGACAACTGGGAAGTTAAGGTAAGTCTTCGTGTTTTCGTGTTGCGTAAAACGATGGCTGCCCTTGGTGTAAATTCACATAACTGGAATTTTAAGACTTCAATTAACAGCTTAGCTACTTTACAATCGTTAATTGTTTAATGAGTAAATTTGTAAAGGAAGCCATCAGCGACACATTTGTTGTTCTTTGTTACAATAATGCTGGTAGGACTTATCATAGCGCTGACTATAGCTTTATTATCGGCTAATTCCTTGAAGGGATTAATATATAGGGTGCCTTGTCAAACTAAGCACGACAATTGCTACAATGGCCTGGGAAAAATATTATCTTCCACTGTCACATTACAACAAGAACAAATGATTTATAACACAGATGTAAGAACTGCTACGAGATTTTGTGATGAGAGCGTGCGCATTTCTTTTTGTTTCAACATTCCCCAAGTGTCTAATTGAACGAGCTCCAGAGTAAATCTCTATGCCGCTTGAAAGATTTTTGATTGTTTTCTTTCTTTAATGTTCTCACAGGGGAATGTCGCACCCATCTAAGATGCGCGAGATCACATCATCCATCTTTTACGTGATTTTAGCTTGCAAGAAGAAATTAGTTACTCATTGACAACGTTTAAATGCACTCATGTTCAAGAACATGGCCACTGCCCGTGCTCTTAAAGAGATGCAAGCTTCATTAACCATTTTGTGGCTGCGCAAGAGACTGGGTCTGTGTTGTGTCGAATTGCACTATGGGACTGTTTGGGGGACATGATTTTTTGACCAACCGGTTCCTGCGCAACTTCGTAATAATCAATAAAATGAGTAGCATTAGCGTCCCCAACATCTCAAACCATGCAGTCTTATCGTGTAGCGGACCTTCCACACGATATCCGCAATCTTTGTACTCACTAAAGGTGATGTTATACGAGACGATTCGCAACGACGATCTTTAGCGCAACACAGGGTTCAAATGTCGGAACAATATTGCAGCCATTAGAAACAATGTAACAACAATGTTATAACGCTGTGTTGCGCTAAAAATCGTCGTTGCGAATCGCCACGTGTAACATCACCTTAAGGACTGATCGCATAAAAGCAGTGTCACGTAGTTTCTCAGGGAAAAAAAAAAATGAAGGACTTTTAATCTTAAAGACTATAACGGCAAATTATGGGTGGAGCTGATTACCGTGACTTTTTGGATGCAATTACGATCATGCACATCCTCACCGCAAGCAGTTTTGATGTAAAACCCGACAAAAATCCATCTGTAAATTTTGCTTGACTACTGTAAGTTCGTTGTCTCATTTTGACGAAATAAACAAACTCGCCCGCTGTTTCTTGCATTGGCAGCTTTTAACAACAGTATGCCTCGTGAGAAACCGCATAACAAGGCTTTTATCCCATCAATCGTTAAGCGCGTGCGAAGATGGTGGGTATCATGGCGGTACTGGTTGAAACTGTCTTTCCTAATTTTGTTTAATTAGGAGAGTATCCTGTTGACGATAGGCCAACTATGTTCCAGTACGGTGAATGTCAAAAGATTCCTGGAGAATGGATTACTGGCCGAGTTAATAAATCTTATGTTGTTAGGCAGAGATGATGATATTAAGAAAGAAGCGGTGGTTTGTCTTAGCAAGGTTAGCTGGCTGTATAGCTTTTAATATTCTGATTCTAATTGAAATTCAGACTGTTTACCACTTTTCTATTTTTCGACGCAAACTAGTAAGCACGTGACAATCTAGCCTGCGTAGCTGGCGGAATTGTTACGCCCGGGTTACTTTCTTGCCTCGATCTTTGAATCTCCGAATAAGGCATGGCGGTTTGTTTATTATTTTTTTTAATTCAACTGTGAGAAGCGGACTTTTGATCGCTTGGTCTGTTCCAGGCGTTCAGATTGTGGTGACGGGGCAAAAAGACGTGAGCAGGAAAAAAATAAGGGGATGTGGTGATGTGAGAAGTGACGTGGAGTGAGAACGCGATGTGATGTGATGTGGAGTGAGAGCGACGGAACTCTCTCCCTCTCTCCCTCTCTTCCTCCTTAATTTTTCCCCGTTCTCTTAAATCGCCTCACACTCCTCTATCTGAACGCCCAGAACACTCTTGAACGTTAATCGTTTGTTCTTTGATGCCACAAGCGGGTGAATCAGTAAAAACATGTTTTCGCAGGTTGTGGAAAAATCTGAACACGCACATCTCTGGTTGGAAGCAATGACCATATCAGGAGTTGGAACACTCTTTGGTCTGCTGAATTCATCACCTTCTCTACAACACGCTGCACTTCTTGCAATCAAGAACCTTGCTTCTCATCCAAAAATGGCGCAGGTTTTTCTGGAGTATGGTCTTGATGGTGTCGCGCAGTTAACAACCTGCAAGGTGGGTATCTGCTAGCGTGGGACCAGGTTCCGTAGTGAGGGAAAAAGGCGAAAAAAAAAGCGATGAGCGATCGGTTCGCTTCTCTCGCTTTTTTTGCCGTTTTACTGCGTTTTTTCCTTTTTTCCCCACTGCGGAGCCTAGTCCAAGGCTCAGAGTATCTACTCTTGTTTTGCCCTGTTGTTTGAAACCAAGTAGAGTCCCTCGCTGGGGTAAAATGATAACTACAATCTTGGTCTTCATTTGAATTACGTCACAGAGCTCTGTATCAGGGCAAGTTAATTAGCAATACGTGTTGAGTATCTAGTATGACCTCGATAACGACTGATCCGCTTTGATTAGCCACTGCTACTTAAGGATCAGTCAGACTTGTAATTCAAAGTCTGGGTTTTTGTCAATCATAACTGACTCATCTCATTCGGCTTATTGCCTTCTTTCTTTTCTTTCTTATCTAGAACACTCAAGGAAAATACATTGGTGATACGGACATTCAGGTGGGTACGGGCGTTCCGATCGTTATCGGAACTGTAGGTATATAGTTATAGATTTATTTATACACGATCATGAAGCTTCTAGGGTCGTCTCTTTGGGCCATAGGTAGACGGATCGAGGGATTGAGCGTTTACCGTTTGCAGGGAGAAAACAATCAAACTAAAAACGGTCCAGTAAAACTGCTAGCCTTTATACAAACTTGAGCGAAAGCGCGCAGTAGTAGACTGCGGTAGACGTCGTGTGTGGATGGTTATATTTATGTAAGGGAATCCGGAATTTTTGGCTTTGGAATGCGGAATTTTTTGGCTTTGGAATTCGGAATATAGCTCGAGGAATCCGGAATCCCTCTTAACACTGGAATCCGGAATCCAATTTCCACCGATAAACAAACTGGATCCCATAAACCACGGCCTGGAATCCAGAATCCAAGACTGGTTAGGATTCCCTTACATGACCTTAATTACAGGGGGCGACGGTGGTGCAGGGACATAGAGCGTGACATAATCGGCAGTTATTGATTGAGGCTTGAGTAGGATATGAAGAATTCTGCAGATCGAGGAGGGTGTTATCCACCGAGGCCGAAGGCTAAGGTGGATAACACCCTCCGAGATCTGCAGAATTCTTCATATCCTACCAAAGCCGAATTCAATAATTGTTTTATTATTCATTCAAAATACAGTCGACTCCCGATAATTCGAACCTTTAAGGGAAGTGGAATAAAGTTCGAGTTATCGAGGGTAAAATTATATAGAAACTGATATGAAGGGAATTGCAAATTGCTTCGAGTTAGCGGGAGGTTTGAGTTATAGAGGGTTCGAGTTACTGGGAGTCGACTGTAATTCCAAGTTTAAAAACATGCTAAAACGTGCTTACCTCGGTCGATATTAAGTTCATATCGATAGCGCATCTTTATCGGCAATTTTAAGAGATAAAGGTCTGTTCAGGTCTGCAAATATACTCCGAATATCAAATGTCGTCCGTCGAGGTGTGTTCTTGCTGTTCTCGCTATGATTTTAGACAGTATTTCGCCGTGAAACGAGTAAAATGTTTCGTCGACTGTTCAGCCATTTTGTTCCAACAAACCTCGTCCCCAGATTTTCTCGGTTAACGGTTCAATAATCTGCAGCTTGGGCTGCTCTTTTTGACGTCGTCGATTCAATATGACTAAATTCTTTCCAAATTTGGTCAACTGTAACTCTTTATGATGAATTATGCGTGTGCTTTTAGCCTATCAGAAATGGAGAAATAGTTTGAATGAATAATCCTTCCCAACAAACATGGGGAGGAACGCGTGACGAAGCCCTAAGAACGTCTACGTGGGAGGCTAGCTATTAACGTGATCTGATGAAACCTTGTTCTTTAAGGGCTTGGTTACTCAGGCGCTGACTAATTTGATATCCAACGACTCCTCTACTGTTGAGATGTTTCTTTCAAAGCACGCTGCTGTCATTGGAAACGTCTTGGATCTATTGCAATATAGTCCATGGTAGGTCTTTGATTACGTTTAGTTACTGTGTTTGGTAAAACGTAATTTCTGAATGGTCCAGACTCGTGTGTGACTGCGGAATACGCATACAGTGAATCAGTACAAATTACTTCATGTAATGCCATTGATTTTTTTCTTTGTATCTTGCAGTCCTCAACAACAGCAATCTGCTCGTTTCTTAGCGACTTTGGCTTATTACAAAACTGGTCTTACGTCACTGATATCTCATAATGCTACTGAACACTTGATGTGGGCAGTCACGTGTTCACAATGTAGGTAAGAGAGCAAATGGGAAAAATGCTTAGCCTTGGTCTGAATTATGTAAGCGATGTTTTCTTGACTTTGTTATTCCTCTATCCGAAAGTCCTTTTCGTATGATGCCCCGTGCACGGACGCTAGAAAGGTCAAGATTTGCACAAGTTAGACGTGGCAGTCGCAGAGTTAAAAACCAGGGCAAGCGCTTGATTTGCGCTCATGAACCTTTCTCGTTTTGGGTTGAAACCCAGGGAGCATTTTTCTGAAATTATTTAACTGTCTTGAAACTAAGCACTTAGTAAGTTTCATAATAAGGTTGTACTGTTAGAGTACAAACTTAAATTAACTTCACATATTCTAAAGATAATCTCTTTTTTCACCAGACACCTCAGAGAACAAGCAAGCATAGCCCTCAAGAATATATCCACAAACCCTGACAGAACATCCGCTTTTTCGGCTTTAAGCCAAGTAGCTACTGGAAAAGCAAACTTGGAACAAGAAGCAAGTTGCTATTCTAACAGTGCAGGGAGTTTCTCTTCTCCACCTCTAAAGAAGTCGTCACGAACCTCCGGTGATGTTGATATAGAGTTGGACAAACAGCTTACACTAAAACCCAATAAAGTCACCTCTGAATTGACTTCAGTGCTTACACTTGTTTTTCAAGGTGATTCTCTGGGGAGAAGTGGTTCCGAGAGACAATTTATGACACCTAGTTCTTCATTTCATCTGAAGTCGACAAGGCTGAAACGGTCTAATAATTTTAGTAAAAAGGAAACATATTTAAGTAGTCTACGTGTGTTAACAAATGCTCTGGTTGTGATGTCAAATCTGATACTGCTCAGTGAAAGCATGGAGGAGCTTTCTGTTGAAGACAGGTAGGAGTGTATACTGGCTCGGCAGCCGAAAATCAGAATACGTCCTTGTCTAGTCTATTGCTAGTCTATAAGTTTCCCCATCTTTAAGCCTACGTGAGTAATTATCGAAAGTTGGAGTTTACCAACTGAGTCGAAAGCAGCCGTCAAGAGATAAAAAAAATCAACGTTTTAGACTTTTCAGGAGAGGGTAAGCCATTTCAAGGATTTTTCAAGAAGAATACCTGCTTGACTTTCTTTTACACTTTCTTAGCAACTGCTCACTTAAAACGTGTATCAGTCGGTGAATTAAGGTACATGTTGCAAGTCAAAATTAAATTCGGGTTAAAATGTTTTAACCCAGGATGATACACTACATACACTATTTCCTTTGTCTTCTAGCCCTAATTATGTATGAATTAGGGCTAGGAGACAAAGGAAATAGAGAACCTAGGTTAAAAAATTTTAACCTGAATTTTATTTTGACCTGTAACGTATACGGATTAGTAAGGAACACCGATTTTGTCTCTATAAAAAGACAAGACGCAGTGTTTCATCTGATATCCAGACACTGAGAATGGGTTACAAAAATACTTTTATAGTTTGTCAAATAAAAAACAAAACTGGAAGAATATCAAAGCATCGCAATAACTAGTAGGTCCGATTATCAAACTACCTTCAAGGTAGAGATCAGCCTGTCCCAGACCCCGCACCTAGTAGGAGAAGTGGGCGTAAGAAAAAAAAACGGGCAAGGACTGGTGAGAAGGAGGGCACCCTCTCTGCTTCTTTTTCCCGCGTTTTTTTTTTTTTGGCTTGTCCCGACTGATAATCTGGAACAGGAAAAGGAGTGATTACCTTTCTTTTATTTTATAAGTATTTCAATACTTCAAACTACTTTCAAGTAGTTTGACAAATAAATTACGCAACGTCCAGTTGATACTATGTTTTAGAATTTCTATTGTCTTTCCCTACAGGAGGTTAAACCATGTTGCGGTCATGATTCAGAATGGTGGACTTGCATTTCTTCGAGAGCTGGAGTTTCTTAGCAACAAACTGTTAAAAGTGAACCCTCCTCTGTTCCACAACATTGACCCAACCACTCTACCCCCGAAGGAAATCTCCACAACGCTGAAACATGCGCGTACAGACTTAATATTTGAGGCTGCAAATAAAAGAACACAGGATTCTACAAAGAAGTACGCGGATTTTGGATTTGAATCGACCGAAGTCGACTTTGTCAAGGCCGCAGTACAGCTGTTGTGTTTGTTTGCTCAAACAACTGCACCACAGTTTGATCCTTGTTTAGAGGACATGAAAGTGTTGGAAAGTTCACGGTCTAAGGATATCAAAAGACACATTTCGTTTCACAAGTCTGCGGTGTTAGTGAAGAACGCCTTAAGGTTGACCAAAGGAAGCGAAAGACGTAGGATAATACGGAGTAGGAGTGCTAGGTTTGTGTTCATTATATATTAAAGCGACTATACTATACCTTGTGACACATAAATGTCACATAAATGTGCGTTCCAGATGAATTGGAATTTGTTATTTACTCCTTTTAGGAACGAAATGGCTAGACTCGAACAGGTGGCAAAATGAATCGTTAAGAAGCAGATTAATTTGCAAGTAAAAATGAAACATCTCTTCTGTTGTCGTGGCTTAACTTACTCTGCTTTTTTACAGATCGTTATCAAGAAGTTTGTCTCAAGTCAGTGTAGATACTTCCACGTCATCAAATCCGTCCAAGCCCTCCTCGGCTACTGACATGTCAACACCCTCGGCTCAGGTTGCTGGTGCCCAGGATTCCCTTGAAACAACTCACTACGTAAAACAAAGCTTGCTTGACGCTAAAATCATTTACTGCTTAGCACCGTGGATAATGTGCGGCATTTACGACATCCAGGTAACTCTGATTTTTAAATTCTTAAATTTATATTACCAATTATACGAGGAAAGGGGTGAGTGTAACCCTGAGTATAACCTACACTGCAAAAGAGTCGGTTCTTTTCTCAAAATCGGATAAGTGTAGCTTAAGAATATCACACGCGCGAAGTGCGCGAGCCTCACACGCCCGTATTTTTAGTGCCTTTCCCTAGTCTCGCTCTTCGTTTTCAGCTTCACTCCAGGCCTTTTGTTTGACTGCTCGCGCGAACTTGAATACGCAAAAATATGGACTGTTTTGGAGTCTAAGAATAACCCAACCCAGATGTTTGATATGCCTTTACTATTCTACCGCCTTTTAGGCTCTATTAAAGGCTCCAGACTCTATTTGTGACTTCAATCCTTCGATTAATGCAAAACTGAAATCCTGAAAATAAAATTGAGTATTAGGGGCCGACCATTTGAATCACCCATCCCCCCCCCCCCCTTCAAAAGTCAATTGGTTGGCCCCTTAGTCATTTTCTCTCCTCCTTTGTAACATTATCCTTTCTATTTCTCGTCAGAGTAACGTTTTGAAAACCATACGGTATCTTCAACATAATAAATACGCCTCATCTGGGCCAGGTACTTTCGGGAACCATGCACCGCGGGAAGCCTGGTCGTCAAAGCCAGCTCCAGCACTAATATCTCGCAGTAGCAATCTTAGCCAGCGGTCTTCAAACGCTGCCACGCCAGCTCGCATCGGCATGAACAAATCAAAGTATCTTGCAGTCACGTGTGTTCGACACGTCATTCAACACTGCGGGAGCTACTTATTGGATTCGCTAGGACCTCCTGTACCACCCACTTTAGGGATGACGACTCTGATGGTTTTACGAGAAGCTGTTATGAATGGAGAGGTGATAACACGTATATTAGGCTGATTTAGCAACAGAACGGGAACGTCAGTTGACGACGGCGCGCGCAAATCAAACAACTGGCTTGACCAATGGCAGAGCGGCAAATTGGGCACCGGAAGTCGTGTTTAGTCCTTTCCGCGCGCTTTCCCGTCGTCAAATGACGTTCCCGTTCTGTTGCTAAATCAGCCTACTATTAATTGCAGAACGACGCTGGTTGATTTCTTGAGCGCTAGCTAGTTGACCAATGTTTAGCACGCGAAACATTAACTTCAGCGACAGTCTATAGGATTAATCAACTCCTATGACAAAAGCATTCTTTGTTGTGTGGTATTATGTCTAGCTTAAGATACAATTTCTTTGTAATACGCAAGCTACAAAATATCTGTAAGGGGGTTATGTCACGAGGATATCGCTGTTTTAGGTCAATTCTGTGCTGAAGTCATTACTTAGTGTCTTTACCCATACACAAAATGCAGCTCCTGTAGATTTGTGAAAAAAATAGCAAACAAATTTCATCAGAGAGCACTAAGCATAATAATTTTTTGGGTGCAGGATAGCCTTGAATCTTAAGTTGGTCCTGGACCAATCCTTTCAAGTTTCAATCCATATCCATTCTTGCCATCCGTTGTAACAGACGACAGGAAACAGTTCGAACGCCTAAATACAGTCATACATAACAAAACTGGACCATTTTGTTTAGAATTTAATTGATAACAAATATCGTGGTATACTGCCCCTTTAAATATATCAACATACATCTCTTTATACATCTCTTACGTTTAGCACGACACGCGTCTTAAAATCATCAAGCTGGGATGTTTCGCTGAAGTGATCGACTACATCCGGGGACACGAAGATAACGAGAGACTACAAGCGCTAGGAATTGTGGTTATCAGAATCCTGGTTGGAAATGACGTTTCTTTTAAACAACTTTTTTTTGCTCATGGTGGAATGAACCTGATAATGGCTTTACATCAATATAAAGAAGGCATGGTGAAGGAGGAAGCTGCCCTTACAATGTCCGCATTCAGACGAGGTTAGTTTAGCGTTTATTCGTAACCATTCGAAAGATTAGAGACCTTTAGATTCTCAGATACGACGGCGAGGACGAGATTTTCTCAAATCTAAGTAGTGCGCGTGTGAACCAGCCTCATTTTGGCGGGAAAACGTCTGATAGCCGTCGTCATTCAACTACTACATTCAAGTACCAGTGTTGTAGCGGCGGAAACAAATTTGCTCAAACTCATTAATTATTTATGTGGTCAAACGCCAATAAATGACGACCATTTGGGACAGGTGGATGAATCTTGATACCTAATGAAACACCAGGTTTTCATGTGAGATAAAACATGTTCAAACACTTAAATCTTAATGAGATGTTTTTTTTCATTTTTTACGGCCTCGTGGTTTCATCTTTTGCTCGGTGTTTTGAACCCGTGATAATGCACTCGCCCTAGATTCTGACATATTGCATAAATGTTAGAAGTGTTATCTGTCATTTTTTCGATCGGGAGAGGGCGTAAGCTCCTTAATAAAAATAACCGTGGTAACTTTTCTGGTGAAAAAAGTACAGTGAAGCTTTCCGGAGTGTTTCTTTTGACATTATGTGAAAAAAAGTTAAATGTCACCCTCGTAACCGTCCTCGTCCTGGAATCTAAAGATCTCTATTGACTTGCTGAGTTTCTTGCAGGTGTCATGCCTAGAAATTTCTAAGGCTCGAGAAAGGCTAACCTTTCCATTCGTCTAGTCGAAGATATTCGAAGAATTAATTCAACTTACCCACAATTTTCGGAGGTTGTGTTTTCACTTTTTATTACCAAGATATTGCCATTATTTATTGATGAAAAAGATCTCCTGAAGTTTTCGGTAAGAGACAAAACATCTGATATTTTTTTTAAATAAAAGTACGGCTATCCCCTGCCCACGAACTTTCGACCGGACCGATAAGGGTAGCTAACAGTTGCGGATGAAACAAAAAAAGTCACCTTAAACTTTGGAGACGACCAAAGTTCTCCTAAGACATCTAAAGAGGGAATACTTTAAACTTTGAAGGCAGAACTAACTCAAGCAACTATTTGAGACACTTCTAACATATCTGGAATGGGTGCCCCTGTTTCTTGTTAATCTTTGACTTGTAACATTTTTTCCTCCGAATACTAACAAATGTTTTTTTTTTCTTGGAATATTGAGGTGCAAGCTCGCGAGTCCATCGAAGGTGCAGAACAGCGGATGCGAGAATCAAGAAACGACAAAAATCACATGACCATGGAGACATCTGGGACGAGGTTGGAGAGAAATGGAAAGGTCAAGATGAGGTGGTGAAAGTGTTGAAAAAATTCAACTTACGATATTAATATCTATCATTCAAGCGTCAAAATTGAAACGACAACTGGCTTGCATAGCATGGTAAACAGCGGCTGAGGAAGTTACTGCTCCGTAACGTTCGTTCAATTGAAATAGACAGTTTTACTAATAGTAAAAACCGGGAAGTTAGGTTCAGAATCTACAGACTCAAGCCTGAGGCCACGTTCACATTATGTCGAATGCTTTACGTGCCGATCCATTATCGTGTGAACAGCAACGACACAGAAGTGGAACAAGTCCTTATGATGCTAGCCTGAAATTCATCCGATTGCTTCGAGTCGTTTTCTCCTCTCAACGGGAGTAATAACGACTCGAAGTAATCGGATGAAATTCAGGCTATTATGATGCATAATTACGATTCACCACCAAACCTCATTTTGGAATAGTCCAGTTTCGAATTAAAAATTACCGCTGAATATAAACATCAACGACACATTCATACAGGGTTAGCCTCGACGTAAAGTAAAATATTCAGAAATTCTGGTAAGCAGGTGTTTGAAATTTGAATATACACAATAGACAGAGTAATAAACAGGTCTTTTTCTCGTGTAAATTTGTGAATATATTACTTCAGATTGAGGCTGAGGCTGTAGAAAATGCGTCTTCACTTCTTTAATTCAGCGGTCATAGCGAACTCGAAAATTGACTTTTGTAAACTGATCTCATGCGAAGTCAGTCTAGGATGATAACTGATGGAGTTCCCAATGCAGCAGAACTGAAAAGAAGTCTCATGCACAAACAGTGCTAATGACAAGGATTTTGTTTACAAACGGTGATATAGTGGTAAGATTTGCTCGTCTGCTGACGTAAATATTCGCAGAGGTAATATTGCCATGTCTTGTCATAGTCGATTGTACGGGGTGGCTTTGATTCCTTGATATGACTAAATATAGACTGCTCTAATTTCATTAGGAGTGCGATTGACATAGGGAATTTTACTTCTGTAAGAAAAAAATGGAAGAACTGAACCAACGACAAGAGGCAAGAAACGCAGATTAAGTCTCTCAAAGTATTATAATAGTTCAAGTTCGAAAAACTAAACAGGTCCTTGGAAATAGACGTTTATTTTTCTCTCTAAACCATAGAAAAAATGCAAATGACAATAATTGTAATAATACGTTTTATAGATTAAAATAACCAGTCCAAAAACCTTTCACCAGCTGGAAACGTTTTCATGGAACGGGCTTAATAAATAGAATATACTGAGGTGTATCATGACAATACCCTGCTAGCCGGAATACTTCGGATTAATACTGAATTTAAATCAGCGAAGAATGTTTTACGTACCTTCTGATTGGCTAAAGTAAGGTATGTCGAGTAACACACAAAATTCATAAACTCCGGGTTCAGTCTGATTTTCTCCTTGTGCGAGAAACTCGAGTAACAACTTTCTCTCTTAAATTATAACTTTGGAACAAGCTCGGCACTTTATGCATCGACTGCTCTCCTGGAACAAAGGAGGCAATCTTTACGTTGTGTATTCGGGGAATTATATATAATAGTTCATTGACATCACTTCACCATACCGAAGAGTTTCGAAAGTAACCACCCTTGCTTCTTTCGGTTTAACAGCCTTTTCCTATAGCTACTTTCGGGAGGACGCTACTTTCGGGACGAGGTTACGAAAATAATATCATGACATGTGAAAACATTCACAGTTTTTATTTGAAGAAACTTACTTCATGATATTGCTAACTATTAAGTAAAATTCAAAAGAATTGTTTGAATACTATATGGTTATTCACAGACGGATCCAGATCCTGTAGCAGGTACCCTGAGGGAGCCACAGATATACACTTCAAACGCGGCCTCTTATTATTCATCTTCGTGTTGGAAAATCCATTCTACAGGTGGAATCGGTGACTCAGGTACCCTTAAATACCGACATTTGCCTGTTCTGTCTTGATAGTACCATGAACGGTCTTGATTGATGAGATTTGAAGTTGATGGACACGTATCAGTGTTAATACAAACTCGGGGCGTGTACCGCCTCTCTTGCAGAGTGTAATTCGGCAGAAATGAGTTAGACTTCTTAGAAACCTTCACCTTTAATGTCTCTGGGCTCGCCATTGGCTGCTGGCTTCTTAAGAAAGCCTGAACCTTGCGGTCTATATCTTGCTCCGAGGTTGTAGTTAAAAGCGTTTCCTGAGAAGCTTCACCGTTCATGCTATTTGGTGTGAAGTTGACTCTTCTTCGCCGTGGACTTGCCCTTCCTTTTCTTTGTGTTACCTGCCTTCGTGACTCAGGTCCTCTTGTCATTTCCGCTTGACCCACGCTCAGACGTACAAGGTCAATATCCATACTTTGTTTTATTTTTCCTGACGATTTGGCATTATTTCGGGTTGATAAATCAATAAATTTTGAAGGAGCAATATCATGTTGTTTCTTGTCGAAAGTGATTTCGATGATCTTGCTTTTATCATTCAATGTTTTTTTCTGTCCTTGATCATTACCCTCTGATTCCGAAGTTGGCGATGGGATAACACTTAATTTAGACTCGAGAAATCCAAGGTGAATTCCATCCGTAGATTTGTCTATGTCAAACGCTCTTGGCGACGGCGATTTCCGTGTTTTCTTTTCAAAGTTTTTTCCAACTAGTAAAAGCAATTGATTTTCATCAGTATTAGAACTTCCCAGTGATTCGTTAATTTTTGGCAAAGAATCGCGTGATTCGTCGGCCTCAGCATCGAAGTAGTTTTTCATTCGCACCGTGAGGTGTAATTTCCGCTTGGACCTCGCCATCCCTTTCGCAGTGCTAGTTCTTGAGAAAGCTCCAAATCGTTCTTTAAAAGAGCCATCAGGACAAGACATTCGTCTGCTGGATATCGGGAATTTTTCGTTCAAAAAACGCTGTTCTTTAGCGTCTTTTTCGGGAGTAAGTCGACGCCTTTCCGCGGTGCCGGCTTCAATATCTCTACTCAATGTTCTCCCATTGATACGTGACCCTTTGGCGAAATCTTTGATTGGTATATGTCGTTTTGTCAATGATTTCATTGGCGATGACTTCAAGTTTAAAGCGCTGGCTGAATTAACAGGTACGTTCAAGTCTTCAGAAACGTACTCGACTTGTACGTCACTTTTTGTGACCCTGGCCACGGGACATTCTTGTGAACGGAATTGGCTCACGACCGTTGACTCATAGTTGTGGTCAGAAGAATTGCCAAATCCTGGCACGCGTATTAAGCTTCTCTTCGCAGCTATCTTCATTTGGCCTGTAGAAAATCGACGATTTCTTTCTTGATCCATTTTTGCACAAAAGACGTGCTTATTCGTTGGGATGTCGTGAGTGATACGGAATATTAGTAGATCAAAAGTAATTATCGAAAGTCATGTAATAAATGAACCATGCGTGACTTCATACACCGAACTTATTACCGAATCACGTAGGAAATGAGTGATGAAACCACGGAATGCTCATTTGTCATGCTTTGACCTAATGAATAAAGTGTAATAAAAACATTTTTTTGTTTGAAGCCAAAACAAATGCACCATCCACAGAAAGAAACTACATGTAATGCGCAACTTTAAGGTCAAATGTTTCAAATGATTTCAAACATCCCAAGGGTAATACCGTTCTGTATGCTCTTATTAGTGAAGGTCAATTTTGAAAAATTTGCATTTCATACTGGACTTAAAGCCTCTTCTTTGTACCTTAGTAAAGAAACTGTTATTAATTACTATTGCATCTCTTTTTTAATTCAGTATTTTTATTTTTTTTCCACTTTCCTTTTTAACATGACAAAAAATAATTGAAAGAAGATTAAAATACTTGATTAATACTGGGGTGTTGGTGATAACAAGATTTAATAGAACGAATTAACTGAAGTCATATAACACCTTATGTTTAGTAATTAAACAAAAAACTAACCCATGTCTCCAGTCACGCTGTGTCCTCAATAAACATAGGAGCTGGGTGGAGAAAGACGACTTACTGAGGAGCAAGAGGGGCCGGGGTGGTAGTGATGTTTAGGGACACCTCTAGTCAAATTGTAACTGAGAGTTATTTCTTCGAATTCCGTCTGGTCTTATCTTAGAGCCTCTCGTTTCGAAACCTACTGAACGACGCTAGTGAGATCTGGGTACCCAAAAGTTACGAAATTACGAATTAAGTTTGTAGATCGGCACTTTTTACGTTCTTAAGACACACAGTGGAATAGGAGGGGGGAGGAGGTGGAGGAGATGAGTGGTCAAGCGATATTCACGCCTCCATATTCGGACCTTTTCAAGAAGGATTTTGCTTGATATGATATGCCGTTTTACGAAAAAAACTAATTCTTAATACCACCCCGTTAACACGTTAAGATTGTTGTCACCGATAACAGAGGGAAACCTATACTACCGATAAAAAACATGAGGGATACCCCGCCGTTCCGCTGTGAAGTCCTTTCGGGGGCATCCTACACATTAGGTGGGAGGTTGAAACAGCCGGCTACCGAGAACGGAAAATCTGATTGCGCTTATCAGAGAAGAAAACGAAAAGCTTGGAAATGTAACTTTTCGGTCGTAGTGGTTCAATGATCAAGGGATGATGAAATAACAAACCAATTAGGGGAGTTCAACATATTAAACACAAATTGCTTCATCGCTTTCGATTTCATTTTCAAGGCCAATTAAACATGATCAAAATTATAGAGGCAAGGAATATACTTCTAGAGCTCAGCCGTGCTTTTGAGTTTTTAGATGAACGTTCGTTGTTATGATCATTCAATTGGAACTTCTTAGGTAGTTCTTTTGTAGGACATTGTATGTATTCTGAAAACTGATATGACTTGTGGGTAGCTAAGCTAAGGCTTCACGCGCTGGACCGGGCTACAATAGAAAGCGGTTAGGTACTGGTTTCAGCGATGTTGTGCATAGTTATTTAAAGTGGAAGGGTTATGAAACCCGTTAGACTCTTTTGTTATATGTTTTTGTTAGCTCAAGTTGTAGACCTGACCGTGCACAACGTTCAATCAGTGTTCAATAGCATTCCCATCATTTTGAACTTACT